ACACATAGATATAGATATAGATATAAATATATAGATATACATCCACACACACACACACACACACATATATATAAATCAGTGCACATACCTCGAGGACTGATACGTCCGTATGTGGCCTTGAGCCCCACCACACCACACAGTGCAGCTGGCATGCGCACACTGCCTCCACCGTCAGTACCAACGCCAAACGGGCACAGACCCACAGCCACAGCCGCAGCCGTCCCACTGGACGATCCGCCAGTGAAATAACCTGGCTTGTACGGATTGACTGGGTAGCCATAGTCTATATTACATCCAGTAACACCTGGAATATAGATGTGTGGTTGTGTGTGCGTAAACGAGTCGGTTAAACGAGTGCGTGTGGATGCGCGGGTACACCAGAATGTTTAGTGTGGCGTGTCTGTAAGCGCAAATGTGTGTGCATTGTGTATATTGGTGTGTGTGAGTAGGTACAATCACCGTAAGCGCGTATAATGCGATCGCGTCTCCCTTCTCTCACGGGCGTTAAGTTGTACGGGTACCACATAGTATTCCTTCCGTGTCACATTTCGCCTGACCTCAAATAATGTACTAGATGCCGTAACAGTCTTGCCTGTAGAGGCATTTGGTATCCGCCTATGGGTGTATTCAGCGTGATACTACTGTATCTGTTTATAGATGTGCATTGCAGTAATGCAGATTTAAGGTTGGTATACGATTCGCTCGATACGTCCCACCCGAAGCCACCATTGAGCAAGGTGTCACTTACTTGAAAGACTGTCTGAGGACAACCTATCCGAACCCACTTTGCATTTCATTTTTTCTACTCATACCCATTCATACGATGTGCAGATCTACAACACAGCCAAATAAGCAAAAACCTGTCAATCTAGCCCCATCCGAACACACTTAGCTGCGCTCCCTATTCCACCTACCCATTCCTAAGGGGTGCATGTTTGTCTTGCCCGCGAGGATACCACCGGCCGCTCGGATGTTCGCGTTGCACTGACTGTCCTCGTCTGCGACGTGCTGCGGAAGTCAAAGGCACCAGCGAACAAAAATGGGTGCCAGAGAGAGAGAGAGAGAGAAATAACACTTCCGAAGCCTTCTAATACTAGATATGCTATTGGTGTTGTACCTGGGCTATGCGTGGTGGATTTTTTCAGACAACCGTACCAGCTTTAGATCGGAACGGTTGCAAAAACAACCCTTAATCCACTGCATTCATATATATATATACTTATACTTATACATATACATATACATATGCATATATATATATATATATAGATATAAGTTATGTATATAAATAATAAATATAATATATATATAAATATATATATATATATATAAATATAAATATATATATATGTATATATATATATAAGAGAAATCGACAGCACAAGAAGAATAGTTGTTCGATAGTCAAATCGAACACCAGCACGGGTATCCGTGCGCGATAAGGTGCTGGAATTCATTGGCAGTAGACAGTCGCCTGCAGAATATTATACAGACCCCGTCCTGAAAGACCCGCACATGATAGGTGGTTGTAACGAAATAGTGCAGCTATATAGGAATACTAGACTCTGCAAAAAATATCAAACTGCAACACTCCAACTAATCAAACCAAGCTAGGACTCTCACCCTCTCCAAGAAATTCTTCTCAAGTTTTTTTGGCAATTAAAGCTGAGTAAATGTTGTACCTTAATATAGGTGCGTAATGCACCTGAGTATGAACATATGTTGTACCGTAATATTCGACTGTATTGCACCAAAGTACAGGTATGTAATACACCTGGATACGAGTGTATACTGCACCTTAATTTACGACTGTATTGCACCTAAATATAGGTGCGTAGTGCACCTTAATTTACGACTGTATTGCACCTAAATATAGGTGCGTAATGCACCTGAGTATGAATATATGTTGTACCTTAATATTCGAAGGTACGTAATGCACCTGAGTATGAGTATGTGTTGTACCTTAATATTCGACTGTATTGCACCAAAGTATAGGTACGCAATACACCTGGATATGAGTGTATACTGCACCTTAATTTACGACTGTATTGAACCTAAATATAGGTACGTAATGCATCTGAGTATGAGTATATGTTGTACCAAAATATTCGACTGTATTGCACCAAAGTATAGGTACGTAATACACCTGGATATGAGTGTATACTGCACCTTAATTTACGACTGTATTGCACCTTAATATAGGTGCGTAATGCACCTGAGTATGAGTATATGCTGTACCTTAATAATCGTCTGTATTGCACCAAAGTATAGGTACGTAATA